TACAAACTAAGAATTGGACAATGTTTGTTATACTTGGAGATGGTCAAATGTGCATATAGTTGAACACTATCTATCTCTTAACGGTCAAAAGTATCCTTTTAATTGTAACATCAAATAATTTTTTGATCTGCAAAGTCGATCGACCAACTTTTTTAAAAACTGAAAGATTATTTTTGTATTAGGAAGTGATAGCGTCGGAAAAGGTTTTTTACAACAGAAAAAAAAATTTTTTTCGGCTATAAATAACCGAAAAACCATTTAAGGCATAGTGGTGTGTTGAAATTTTGATGATTTTCAAAAATGTAATACAAACTGAATATTTTATAATAATAGAAAGAAAATTACGAACATTGCAGTAAATGGTTTTTCACACACATTTATGGCAAGCTTAAAAATATATATATCGTGAGAAAGAGTGCAATATATATTTAGTTTTCAATTAATTTATATATATATATATATATATATATATATATACATTTACATTGTTCGGAAATAACCTAAACAGTAATTAATTTACATTCATTAGTTACTATATTAAGTTCTAGAACTATGCGCACTATGCGCCATCCCTAGTTACACTTAAAGGTAGTAAAATAAATCCAGAACTTCCGACACAGATTGGGTATGATTTATTCAAACAAACCCGTCATAAGCTAACTTTGAATGGCGATATTATACTAAATATATCAAATAAACAACAATTGGAATTGGAATTGGAATTGGAAAACTATTCTGACTCAACACAATTAATGCTAATGAAAATAATATCAAAGTTGATGCACATATTATAATACAAAAAAAATAGATGAACAGAAAAGGTAAAGGTGTCGATTTATGTTATATTATATATATTATATTTAAATATTTAATAAAACATTTCTCAAATAATAAAAAAATCATGATCCATTGTTAAATGACCTGCCTGAAGCGGATCCCTGAATATGCAAACTACTATATTTAGAAAGGTTTATATAAATTTAATTTGACGACTCCAACAAGTGTAACGTATTACGAGCATTATTATTGGTTTTATTATTTATTTATAACAATTATGGAAAATTCTCTCACTCACACATACTCGCGTGAGGTCACACTATATTTTTTTTTAATATATAAAAGTAGAAAAGTCTTTTTTGTGTATTACATAATTTTTTTGTCTTTAATAAATAACTTTTAATAATGAAATTTGGAAAAACTTTGGAAAAAAATATTCAAGACTTTCCAAAAGATTGGAAACCTGTCATAATTCAATATAAATACCTGAAAAAATTTATAAAAAATATTTTTGACGAACTGAATTCCAATGTTCTGCTAAAAAAACTAATTGGGATTCATAAAGTTGATGAGAACATTAGTCATTATTTCGAAAAATATAAAATAGAATATAAATTTGATGGTAAATTTATTTTAA